ATCAAAATGTTGTTTTTCGTTCAAATCTAAAACAAAAACGTTAAAAATGATAGGCTTTAATATCAAAAATGACATCAGGGTTTTAATAATGATATTCAAAACCATTAATAACAAATGAGGAAATCACTGGTAAGAAAATAAAAGTTCGTTGAAAATAAAAGAAATTATTATTACTATTCAGATGCAATGTTTAATGTCAAATACCGCTAAAAACGTATTAATAAAATATTCTGTCAAGCTATAAAAAAAACTACTAAAAATGTTAATAACTAACATGTGTTTCATGGATAATGCAATTAAAATGGCTATTAATTACCTTCTAAGGTATTAGTAATATCTTAGTTTCAAATATTAATAACTCTTATACACACTCATTAATAATTACACCAACTACGTTACTAAATTAGACTAAAAAGGTTAATAACAATTGTTATATCATTAACAATACCTTACCATCCCCGTTTACTTGCTAGCTATTTTAATCTCTTTCAAAATATTTGGTAATGATAGCAACTAATAATTATTAATTATCTTACTAGATGTTATTAATACCTTCCTTGTAAGACATTGATTACACTTATATACACCTATTAATAATGATACAAACTAGCACTACGGGAAAAATGGCCTCTTGCAACTCCAAAATTGTGTTGCGTAAAGTCTTAAAAGAGTTGCAAGATCCTAGCGCAACACTTTTACTAGGGTTGCATATAGTGGGGGTTGCAAAAAGAAAAGGCAACTCATATTTTATTTTTAGCAACCAAAATAAAATGGGTTGCATATCCTTACCTTTTATGCAACACCACTTTATGCAACACATTTCCAAATTTTCCTAACACATTCTAGGAACATAGGCTACAGTTTTACAAGTTTTTGCAACATTTAAATTTTATCTATGACGAGTTCACATCATCACAAATGACCCAAGTGTGACAATTTTGTTCGTAACAAATACTAATATTTGCTGGACAACGTTGTCGTGGACAAAAATCTTTTTCGTGACGAGTTAGTGCCAACACGAAACAACAATTGTGACATGTTTAATTGTCACAAAAATTTATCATTTGTGACCATAATTTTGTCAAAACACACTTTTCGAAATTCGCCGAATGATCCAGGAGTCAGATTGGTTGTCACTGAAGTAAGTATTTATGACGAATTATATTGTCATGTATGATCCATGGGCTTGGTTGGTGACAATTATGGTCGTCACCCAAATGTCTCATTGGTGATGCATTGAGTTATCATCGATAATTTTCTTTTGTGATAATTAATGAAATTGTCGCCCTTGCTTCTTTTTGTGATAAGTGTTGATGATACGAATATATATCAATCGTGATGGTAGCTTACACATAAATTCATATTGTGACAATATTATTGTCATGAAAGTGACATCTTGTAACATTTATTTGGTTATAAATAAGTTCTTATTCCAGGCGTTACAACAATCATGCTACGAACAATACTAAGATAATACTCCAAAAAAATCAATTTGATGCAAAATACAACTCACAATCCAATCATCTTACTATCAATACTTGTACTTGAAACATGAAAGTGAAAAAAATACTAAAATAATAAACCTAAGCATACCACTGTCAATAATAATGAAAATACAACTCTCAAAGGTCTAGGAACCAGTTTTATTTTGTGTATTCTTGAGCGAATCAAAGTGACCACTTGATACTTTGAAAATCTGCAAACAAAAAACAAATAAATGGTGTTTCTTGTATCAAGCGGAAAGACAAGCCAAGAAGGGTAAATAGTAAATACTGAATAAACGTAAAAAAACATTGTAATTACCAATATATGTAATTGTGCTGGGTTGATCTAGATTGTGGAGACTGGAGACCACATATCCGAACTATCTCATAGCGAGCCAGCCTTCTCGCGTATGTAGCAATTGAAAGCATTAGATATGCTAGAGCCGCTGAGACGGACTCCGGAAATTCCTAACGTAGCGTGTTCTTCCCTATCTCATATCTCGTTGCTGTTTCCATCGACTACTTATTCTTGAGGTTCGGATGGAGATGAGAAGGAAAGAGTAGCTGGTCGTGGTGGATTTGTCATCCGGAGAGGGACGCGATTGTAAGGGATTTGGAGATGTGTTAAGTGACTGCTCTCATCTAGGAAGGGACTGGTGGTTGCTGGGATTATTTTAGGGTTTAGTTTATGTTAATTATAAGGAGTGGAGGGAGGCTGTGAGGTAAGGTAATCGGCTGGGGAAACTCTCCGTTAAGCATAGGCTATTCTCAATTGGAATTAGTTTAGGTTTTGGGTTAGTTACAATTAGATTACTTATATCTAATTAAGTAGAGGATAATTATGGATTGCGCATAACCCTAAGGACTGGGTTTTAAACCTTCTTTTGGGAATTTTTTATAATTCGGCTTTTTGGATAAAAAAATTAATACTTTTTTGCAACCCAATCTCTTAAAATGTTGCTATAAGCAATCTAAAAAACTTTTATGATATATGTGTTGCGTATCATAAGCAAGTGCAACACATAATTTTGGATAACTAATTTGGGTTGCGTAAACTACATAATACGCAACTCTAAAAAAATGTGTTGCCTTTATATATCTAACACAACACTTTTAAATAGTGTTACGACCCGGTGTTGCAAAAAGTCATTTTTCCCGTAGTGCATGTAGGTTTACTAATGTAGACTAAAAGGTTAACAACAATAGTTATATCATTACAATACCTTAGCACCCCCTGTTGCTCACTATTTTAGCCATTATTAAAGTTTCTTAAATAATTTGGGGTTATTAACAAGATCACTATTAACGAGAACGTGTTGTTTCTCAACGAATAATAAGAACATTACCAACAAAATCTATAATCACTATACCGACTTCATACCTCTCACAAGAATATTATTAATTAACCAAGAACATGCGCTCCCAGTTATAGGCGCGACATATCATCAGCGCTCGTTTGCCGCCGCTTCTTAGGCTTTAGATTCGTCTTGTCGTGGAGAGGTCACCGTATAGTTCCGGCCTGCAGCCGCTCCATGGGTGCGGAAACTAACTCGTCGCCGTCGGCTTCGGCACTCCGCAACAAGAACTCCATCTAAAGCTCGACACCGACAGTTAGATCTCGTGGTTGCCGACCTGGCAAAACGACCGTCTCGATCATAGAGCCTATTCCACCTCCAACGTCGGGCGGTAGGAAAGTGGACGGTCCATTTTTTGGAAGTTACAAGTGTCGCCTGGATCTTGATGAGGAGATTGTTGTGCAGCCGCAAGAGGAGATGCACAGTCGGAAGATTAAAGGGGAGAGGGAAAAATCTTTCCTTGAAACAAGCCGAGGGCGGAGAAAATGTATAAACCCTAACTAAATATATCACGTTAGATTTCAAAATAATTAAAATCTCCTAATGCCCTAATTACCCTTTAACCACCGACTAACAACTAACATCCATAGATTAACTAATTTCCTATAAGCCAATAGGAGAAGTTTAAGCAACTGCTTAAGGTTTTGGGTTTAAGCACCAGAACCCACGCCGGAAGACCAAGGCCTAACAATTGGATATACTCAAAATCAAAAGCCCCCGACGGCGACGACTTCTTGCGGATCTGACTTCTTCAAAGTTTTCGGTTGATTATGTGTTGACGGAAACGGGGGAAGTAGTAGAGCAGACGCCGCCGCGGTTGGCGAGAACCACTTGTGGATGGAGAAAAACTGGTTCGTTTTAGCTTATATTACAATTTATTCATTCGATACTCACCATTATAATCTAAACAAGAAACACCAACAAAATGACAGGAAGTTAATTAATTTGTACCATCTAATCTAATTACGCGGGAGAATTGGCGATTAGTGTAAGGAAAGTGGTTAAATTCATGTATAGATGTCTTACCATAACTTAAATTATCGATATTAATTGGTTTATGATATGCTATCAAAATTAATTTATTAGTGATATCATATGTTTAGGTTCTCGCGACGTCCAATATTAACGCATGGTGTAACGGCCTAACGGGTATATAAATTAAACTTCAAATCCATTATTTTGACTTTCGATTGAGGAGTGTGCACGTGTAAGTAGTGGCGGACCCTGAAATCTAGGGGGGTTGAGAAGGCTGGTATTGAATAGTGGTAAATGGGGATGGGGTTAAGGCCTGCACGACTAGTCTATTTCCTAAATTTGTACAAATTTTACATTTAGTTTTACATATATATATATATATATATTTTTTTTTTGGGCAGCCCCTCCTAAATATAACCTAGGTTCGTCATTACGTGTAAGGAAATGGTTAAGATCCGTACACGAATCTCTCACAACAACTCGAGTTAATGAGAGGAACCGGAAGCAATTGCAAAGTGACAAGTCGCTGATGAAATTGCATAATTGGTTAATCGAATTTATGAAATTGTGTAAGATAAATGAAATTGTATGAAAACATATGAAGTATCACAATAAATGTCAACCATAGTAGGAATTCCCCGTTACTTCATATATATACTATAACACTCAACAAAGATCCATCAACCATACTGCATACACCGAACAAACATGTGATTCGGTGATTGAATTACCCACTTGTATGTTTTGTCTTGGGAAAACATTAGCCACTTGTTTGTCTTGTCTTCTGAATATTTTTGAACAACTTGTATTACTATATGCGTAACTTGCCCAGAACATAACTAAAACGTTTGAGCACCATTACATAAAAATATGCAAGTCTTTTTAAGTGTCGATACACCATACACCCGCTCCCTCGCCCCCATGCACAAATATCTCGCAACTAGCGTTTAATTTATCCATTTACAGCACCGGTTACCATTTCTTACTTTTCTTCTATATTTCGTGACGTTTTTCTCTTGCTAGACTTTCAAACCAGCACCAGAGCAATACTATATATACACAAAATGCATGCATGTCCGATTACTCCCCATCCTTTTCTGTATCTCCATCGATTAAACGCAATCCTGTTCTCCCGATTTCGAGCTATCGTACCTACATATTCGTCTGGAAAAAAAGCCCAACAAAAATGGGGAACTTACTGTTCTCCCTATGCATAGTCTCTCTTCTGCTCTCCCAATCAACCTCCACACCTCCCCAGGACCCGATCCAGTGCACCTCACCCCACAACACCAACTGCACCGTCACCAACTCCTACGGCATCTTCCCCGACCGGTCCACGTGTCGCGCATCCAGCGCCGCATTTCCCGCCACCGAGGACGAACTCATCGCCGTCGTGGCCAACGCCACGAGGGCCCAACGGAAGATGAAGGTGGCCACGCAGTCGTCCCACAGCATCCCCAAGCTGGTCTGCCCCGACGGCGACGACGGCCTGCTGATCAGCACGAAGCTGCTCGACCGCGTCCTCGCCGTCGATAAGGCCGCCATGACGGCGACGGTGGAGAGCGGGGTGACGCTGCGGGAGCTGATCGAGGCGGCGGCGGGGGCCGGGCTGGCGCTGCCGTACGCGCCGTACTGGTGGGGGCTGACGGTGGGCGGGATGCTGGGGACCGGGGCCCACGGGAGTAGTTTGTGGGGGGAAGGGAGCGCCGTACATGATTACGTGGCGGAGATGACGGTGGTTAGCCCCGGTGCGGCGGAGGAAGGGTTTGTGAAGGTGAGGACGCTGAAGGAAGGTGATGGCGAGCTGAATGCGGCCAAGGTCTCGCTTGGAGTCCTCGGGGTTATTTACAAGGTAATGCAATATTATAGCAAAAGGTTTTCCAAGTATATAGGTGAAAAATAGTTATGTTAAATGGTGTCTCTCCTCTAGCCTTGATACCCATTGCAATTGAACTCAAACCACAAGTATCCAATCCGACCCAATCCCGTTAAAATGAATAAAATTTAGTGCTGATGGATTTTGAATCAGGTGCGCAGGTTTTACCTGCTTTGAAATTTATGAGTTTGAATTTAGTCAAAACTCAAAACCCTGCTAACTTTCCACCCGGGCCCACACTCATACGGTAAAACGATATCATTTTGTATCTAACCGAAATAATGTGAATAGTTTATTGTTGTTATTAGTCTTTATAACGATGTAAATCTAGTAATATGGATAATTTATGGATGTTAGAAATCTTTATGATGTGAGTATTCGAAAAAATAATGTACAATTATGTTAGTAAACTCATTCTACTCATATGTTGGGTTTCCTTCTAACCCAAAAGAAATTTTACCTGGCCTTTTTAATGGATGCACCCGTTGAGTTGAGAATTTAGAGAAACAGTAAACTCAAGTACTCAACCCAACTATTGCCAACCCTAAACTTTGATCAAGAACTTTGTCTTTGTCTTTGTCTTTTTTGAGTTTTTTCTTTTGAATTCATACACATACACACAATAATCCGTCTTAATTTCTTTATTGTAGGTGACTTTAAAACTTCAGCCGATGTTCAAGCGATCCGTAACTTACGTCATTAGAAACGACACCAACTTTGGAGATGAAACGACAACGTTTGGGCTCCAGCACGAGTTCGCTGACTTTACATGGTACCCTAGTCAACGCCAAGTCATCTACAGAATCGATGACCGCGTTCCTTCCAATACTTCCGGCAACGGCCTCTACGATTACTTCCCTTTCCGCTCCACACCTTCCCTCCTCCTGGCTGGAGTCCGAATCGCAGGTACGTACCAATCAACAAATGCTACGCGTAAATTAGTCATGTTCACATCAAACAGGAATACCATGTAAAGTAACTCGTTCGTTTGTGTTGTGTGATTGTTTTCTACAGAGGAAGCTCAGGAATACCTAAAGCACGCCGATGGAAAATGCGCCGGGGGCAAGCTCACCACGGCCACCCTCCGAGCCACCTCCTTCGGCCTAACCAACAACGACTACATCTTCACTGGATATCCGGTCGTCGGCTACCACAACCGCCTCCAGTCGTCGGGAACCTGCCTCGACAGCCCCAACGACGGCCTCATCACGGCCTGCCCGTGGGACTCGAGAATTCGAGGCGAGTTCTTCCACCAGACCACCTTCAGCCTAGACCTCTCGGTCACAAAAAACTTCGTGCGCGACGTACAAACCCTCGTCGCCCTAGACCCCGAGTCCCTCTGCGTGCTCGACCTCTACAACGGCATCCTCATGCGCTACGTCACCGGTTCGAGCGCGTACCTTGGGAAGCAAGGGGACGCGCTCGACTTCGACATCACGTACTATCGAAGCGAGGACCCTAAGGCGCCGCGGATGTTCGAGGACGTCTTGGAGGAGATCGAGCAGATGGCGGTGTTTAAGTACGGAGCTTTGCCTCATTGGGGAAAGAATAGGAACGTGGCTTTCGCTGGAGCGATTGCGAGGTATGAGAATGGAGCTGAGTTTTTGAAGGTGAAGGAGGAGTATGATCCGTTGGGGTTGTTTTCGAGCGAGTGGACGGATCAGGTTCTAGGGTTGAGAGATGGGTTGACGGTTTTGGGGGAGGGTTGTGCTTTGGAAGGGTTGTGTGTGTGTTCGGAGGATAGTCATTGTGCGCCTGAGGAAGGGTATTTCTGTAGGTCGGGGAAGGTGTATAAGGAAGCTAGGGTTTGTAGGTATGAGGAGGTTTCCGGGGTTTAGGGATTGTGTGGTGAGGTGTTGATTGAAGGAAATGTTGATGTGTATCATATGATGTTTGATTTGTTTAGTTTTGTGTCATTGGTAGAAGGTAAAATAATGGGAACGGTGATGATGAGAATTGTAGATGTTTGGGTTGTTTACCCATATATGTATTAATTGTAATGAAGCTTACATTTATTAATAAAACGATATGATAATTGATAACTACATATGACAATTCTTCGAATTTTGTCTATTGTTGTTGAAGTATAGATTGTTGAAACATATAGGGAAAATTTTGGACTAATTTCACTTGAATAGTCCAATTAATTGTCATTGCTATACTCAATTATTCAATATGGTAATCCTAGTACAAATTATTTTTATCTTGATATTAAGGGATTAAGCTTAAGAGAGTGGGCTTAGGAAGTCAGCTACGGCTTGGGGGGATTGAGGGGACAGGTTAGGATGATTACCTACAAAGTAGTAATCACCGTGGTTACTAATGGTAAACTGGATATGAAAAATAAATTATATTAATAATTTTTTTTAATAAATTACATTTTAGGTAATTAAAAGAATCTATTAATTACAATTATCTCTCTTTCTCTCACTTCCATAATCTTCAGCCAGATCATTGTTCCGTATTTTTCTCAATCTTTCTGAGGAAGAAAAAAAACACGAAATCACTACCAATCCATTAGACAATCATTACCACTTTGAAAAATATCAATACCATTGCAGAAATAAATCTATACCATTACACGAAAACTACCAATATAAACAATCTACCAATATAAATCTATACCATTTCACAAAAAATCAATACCATTGCAGATTGAATCAATACCAATACATGTAAATTAATACCATTACATGATAATCAATACCAATGCCACAAAAACACTACCAATGCGAAAAAACACTACCACTACGAAAAGTCACTACCAATGCGGAAAAAATCAGATCTAGGGTTTTTATTCATCCCACCTTTTCCAGCCGCAACCCTGAGTGCATTGCCTCTCACCTGCTTTGCCGCGTTTGTCACAGACAGTCATGCTCGGCCTCCACATTAGGAACGGGCGACGCCGTTTTGGTGGGGTGGGGTGGGGTGGAGAGGTGGAGTGGGTATAAAAAGAAATAAGGGGGAGCATGGCCGAAGGGAAAAGGGACGCCAGCGGGGTGTGGGGGTGGGGTTGGGGTGGTCGGAGGGAGGGAGGGACGCCGGCCGTGGGGTGGGGGTGGGATGGGCTGAGGGAGGGAGGAGTGACGCCGACGGGGGTGGGGGAGAGAGGGAAGTCAGCGAGGTTGTGGGGTGGGAGAAGGGAGAGATGGCGGCTAAATAGATAGGTTGTATTAGGTGTGGTATGTTTTTCATTTCCTAAATTACCCTTAATCTAATCTTAATCGTTAATTTAAAAATATAATAAAATAAAGATAATAAATGGTATAGATGTTGATAGCCGTGATTACTCAAAATTGAGTAACCACCCTATCCTATTACGGGGATTGAGCTTTGGAATTCAAGAGTTTAGTATGCCAAGGTTGAGGGGAGAAAGAGTGGGCTTAGACAGTCCTCCTCCTGCGACTTGGGAGTCTACACCAAAAGACTATTTGAAGATCAACTTCGATGCAAATGTTCGCGACTTAGTGTGTTCATCTGGTCTTGTTATCCACGGGTCAGACAGACATGTGCTGCTGGCAGCATAGTATGTGTCACCATGAAGTAGTCAACCCTTACCTAGCTAGCAGAGTTCCTCCCAGTAAGAGATGCTATCACCATCGTCGCCTCAAGTTTCTTGACTAACATAATGGTGGAAGGTGATCCTGAGGTGTTCGTCAACCAGATTTGGCAAGGCGTCCTAGAAAATTCCTTTGGAGGTTCGATGATCCGGGAATGTCATCGGATCATAGACTTTTTTGTCAGTTTGTATAGAATTTATGACGGTTCCTAGAGCCGCCAACAATGCTGCCCATAGAGTGGCGCGTAAAGCACTGCTATTGTCTCTCCTAGAGTTAGAGTCTTTCAACTTTATTGGGTGGCTTCACTAGGGTGTCGCTTGTAGGGGGTCCTGAGTAGTTTTGTTTGTATAATTATTGTTCTCTTTTGATATCACTTGGGAATTAAAAAAAAGGTCGCTATTAATAAGCATGCATTATGAAAACAAATAATACCATGAATTAGTACTATCACCACAAGGCCATGCTATTACCTCAGTGACCTGTTGATAAAAGTCTCGTCCAATAAATACACCGAATAGTCTGTAAATTCTAGTGTTACGTGCGATTTGACGGTAAAAATACTCGATGTGTTGACAATTTATATTTTTTTTTTTTGACAAAGGTCATTGAAATTTCATTTCCTCACGGCAGAAGCCAGAACATTACAAAAGTGGAGCAATTATATCAAGAACTTGGATCCAATCCACCGGCAGATTTCTTTTTGGACACGAACATGCAACCCAATTTGCCTTGCAGTTCCTTCTTCTGCTGACGAAATCAAATCTGGTAGTAGGGTGATTGGTACAAAATGTCTTGATCCTGCTGATCCAGCCTGCAACACGCCAAGGCCAATCCTATTTCGGGTTTGAAAGGGCTTGAATGAGTGTCAGGCAGTCAGTCCTAATCAGGCAAGGGGATTGTGCTGAGTGTGATGTGGAGGGTCTCTTATCTTCTGCGGACATGTGTTCCATTGGTGATGGGCCGCCGTGGCTTCTGCTTCAAGAGGTGAAGAACAATGAAGGGGCTCAGCTCTCCCATTACATACCTGTCCATGGCTGTTCGTTACCACGACGCCATATGCCGCCTGCTGTGACTCGCTGAAAAAGGATCCGTCACAGTGTATTTCAAACTCATGAATACTCGGCGGTGGAGAGGAAGGTTCAGGGGGTGGATTGTGCTGAGTGTGATGTGGAGGGTCTCTTATCTTCTGCGGACATGTGTTCCATTGGTGATGGGCCGCCGTGGCTCTAAGAGTGGTAATCGGGGGCCATGGTAAAATCCCTGAGAAAATTCGGTCATTTCTGGATTTCCAGGTCTGCCATAATAAGAAGATCATATGCTGAATATTCCCAATTGGGTATCTTGATTGTAGCGAGACCAGCCAGTCCAGTATGTTAGTGAGTGGTGGAGGAGTAGAAAGGTCAGGCCATTCTCGATTCCATCCTGCTGTTGCATGGGGACAGCTGAAGATACAGTGATGGATCGACTCAGAATGAAACTTGCACAGTGGACAGGCTTCAGTTGGAGAGCACTTCCTTGCAAACAGGTTGGCCTTGGATGCCAGTGCATTTTTTGCACATCTCCGGATAAAGAACTTCAGCTTTGGTGGCATAGACAAGCTCCATAGCCACTTCCAGTTTTCTTTGGCTGGAGGAGGGAAAGGGTTCACTGTCCCTTGAGTGACTCTGGTTTGGTTGTGGAACAGGTGGAATGCTGACTTAACTGTGAAGCTGCCTATCTCAGAGAATCTCCATGCCCAGTAATCAATCATATCAGCTGGCCCTATTGGGGTGGATCCCGTTAGGAGGATTTCTTGTGGGTCAAGAAACTGTTCCAGAAGGTCGAATTTCCATTCTCTAGTGATGTCATCAATGAAAGTTGCAGCAGATGTTGAGTCGGTATCTCCATGTGCCAGAAGGGGGCCTGGTCGATCAAAGCGCCAAGGGTCCTGGAACATTTTGGTTGTCATCCCATTCCCAATCACCCTGACAACTCCCTGCTGCATCCAATTCTTAGCCTCCCAGATACTAGCCCAGATCAATGAGGCTTTGCTTCCCTTTTTTGCCCTCAAGAAGTCCTGTCCAGGGAAATAAATGCTTTTAAGTACCTTGACCCATAAGGCATCAGAGTTGGTGAGGATTCTCCAAGCCTGTTTGGCCAGAAGGGCCATGTTGAAAATGTGGAAAGGTCTAAAGCCTAACCCCCCTTCCTCTTTTGGAGCATACAGAACGTGCCCAGCTCGCCAGTGTATTGTTTTTTGGTCATGTTCCCACTCCAGAAGAAGTTCCTCAGCATGGAGTCCATCTTGTTAGTTGTAGATCGCGGCAGGAGGAAGAGGCACATGATGAAAGATGGGATGGCTTGGAAGACAGCTTTAAGTAGGGTTTCTTTACCTCCTGGGGAGAGTAGGAGGCTCTTCCATGTCTCTCCTTTGCTTTCCATTCTTCGGATGAGGAATTGGAAAGTCTCTTTCTTTGATCTTCCCCACTCTGTTGGAACTCCTAGGTATTTGGAGTGGCAGTTTGTATCTGTGAAACCTGCTGCGAGGATAATGCTTCCTTTTTCCTCTTCTGTGACATTATTACTGAAGAAAATTGAGGATTTATCTTTCTTGACCTGTTATTGAGCCATACTCATTGATAATGCTGAGGATTTTTGAAGCTTCCAAAGTTGAGGCTTTCCCAAAAATAACGCTGTCATCAGCAAAAAGACAGTGTGTGAGCATAGGGCAAGATCTGTTGAGCTTTAAACCCCTAAGATCTCCTCTCTGGATGGCTTTTTCAATAAGGAAGGATAGTGCGTTACTCATGACTCATGAGTATGAAGAGGAGCGGGGAGAGAGGGTCTCCTTGACGGATGCCCCTCGAGGGGGTGAATTCCTCAGTAGGGTTCCCATTAAAGAGGATTCTGAACTTCACTGAAGAAATGCAGGTTCGGACCCAACCACACCATGCTTCATTGAACCCGTAGGCTCTAAGTAACTCAATAAGAGCATCCCATTCCACAAGATCGTAGGCTTTTTTCATAATTTCATAACAAAATTTATAGCCGTAAGAAAAAGTTCAACCATAATTTCATAACAAAATTTATTGCTAACTTTTTTTATACAACCTCAAATACACTTTCTTAATTTTTTTTTTAAGGAGTTTCTTAATCTTTGATAGCATGCAACACTTGAAAGATAATAAATATACAACCGCCTCCCTGCTAACCAATCAGATTCAGCCAGACAGGTACAGTTAACAGAAAAAGGTAAAAAACCAATATTAATTCAAGTCAATAAATTTATTACAGTGGCACAATTGGGCAAATAATTAACCTCCATAACTGCTTCCAATCCTTCCCACCAACTAATAGAAACACACATTAATACCGCGGTAACTTTTTCTTCTCTCACCCCCATTACATCTCCAACGACTACCCAATACTGCCCGTCTCGGTAACTATATCATGTCGAATCAGCGGTAAAAAAAACAAAAACAAAAAATAGTAAAAAACAGCTCAAATCTGAAATACCGCAGCCATCTAGTCCCGTCTCCTTTTACTCAAACGGACATATACTGCCGGCAAGAAGACAATCCACCGGATTCGCCCCAACCAACGCGCACTCCGCCGCCGACCGCTGACGTGGCCTCCCCACAATACAATTCTTCCGATCATCGTTCCCGTCCCCCAATCTCCCGCACTCCGCCGGCTCGCTGGTGAAGTAATTGAACGCGTACACAAAATTCTCCAATTTCGGCAACAAACAAATCCCTCTCGGAATCGGGCCCGAAAATTTATTATGCCCAACATCCAACTGCTCCAAACTCACCATCCCGCCGATCGACTCGGGCAACGGGCCCACCAATTTATTACAGCTCAGATCCAACACCTTGAGCTCCTTGAGCTCCCCGATTTCGGGCCTCAAACAGCCCGTCAGGCCCAAATTCGCGAGGATAATCTCGTCTAGGGTCTCCGCCATTTGGGCCACGCTCGGCGGGATGCAACCCGTAACCAGATTGTTCGCCAGGACGAGGACGGAAACAGGGGAGTTCCCGAGGTTCACCGGAAGCAGAGACTTGAACTTGTTGTCGTTGAGAAAGAGCGCGTCGAGTGGCAAATCGAAGACCTCGGGAGGAATGTCGCCGAAGAATTGGTTGAATCGGATGTCGAGGAATTTTAGGGAAGGGAGGTAGAGGACGACGTAGGGGAAAGGGCCGGAGAAGAGGTTGTTGCTGACGTCGAGCTCGTGGAGGATCTTGAGGTGGAGGAAGGAGGCCGGGAGCTTGCCGCAGAAGCGATTGGAGTTGATGTGGAAGAGGGCGAGGTCGCGGAGGAGGCCGAGGTGTTCGGGGAGGATTCCGGCGATGTCGGCGTGGTTGAGGTCGATGCCGGCGACGGTGAGGAGGGAAGGGTTGTCTGGGGCAGGGGCGCAGTAGACGCCGGTGTAGTTGCAGACGTTTGGGCCGGCCCAATTGGAGGTGAAGCCCAGTGGGTCGGAGACGATGGCGAGTTTCCAGGATTGGAGGGCGATGTAGGCGGACATTAGGCGAGGGTTTGGGATGTAGGCGACTTCTTGGGAAGATGAAGGTGTGACAATGTTGGAGACGATTATGAGAAGGGATAAGAAGATGGGATTTGGATGTGGAGTGTTCTTGCTCTTCTTCTTCATGATTTCGATGGAATTGGGAAGGAATGGGGAGAAAAGTTTTTGGAAGGGAATGGGATTGTGTAGGTGTAGGTAATAAATGTTTGTTTGTGATATGACTTGATGTGTTGTGGGATTGTGGGGGTGTTAAGAGTGAAGTGTGTTCTTGCTATCTAGTTTGTTGTTTGAGGTTAGGGCTTAGAGGGGGGTTTATATGTGTTAAGGGTTAGTGGGGAAAATGATGGTACGGTACATGCAAGAATGTATGTATAGCTTTTCATGTCGTTGTCTAGTTAGTTGTTGGATTGGGTGCAAGCGAGGCTGGTTTTGATAAAACTGGATCCAATTCAAATAATGGTTAAAGCTGGCACTCGATCTGAATTCCGTCGATATTTGGTTTTACCCAATTTGATTGGATCGGACTGAATTGTATGATTGCAGAAGTGGATTCAATTATCATCCTACTACTTATGGGTCTATTTCTGATGAGGTTAGGAGATTAGTTGTGAAAGAAGAAAGCAAACCCACAATGCAATTAGGTTTGGCAAATGTTTGGAAGGGGGAGTGGATGGTTTTGTACCTGTATTTGGGGCAAATCATAATTATATAGGGCAGTGGCCACATGATATAGGGGAGCCCTAAGGATGAGAAATGAGTTGGGGTTATAAATTACACCCACATGGTTTACCCTCCACGACCATCAAAACATCAATAAATTCTTGGTGGTTGGAGGTATTGAATTAGGCTATAGGCATCTAGAGGAACATGATATATCATCATCGTGATGATTCACAAAGTTCCCAACACACACATGTGCATTTCTTGATAAATTGTTTGCCCAAAACAAATACTTATATCTACAACCTTTTATTAGTTGTTCTTCCTATATAAACATGGTTGCTTATTGCAATTTTGCATTAGGGACAAAAAAAAAAAATTAGACACTTTGTAGTCACATACATCGTTGTTACCCGAAAAGATTGACCAACTGTGGTTCCTTTTTTTTAGCCACATTTGTTCCCAATGTGATTTTAGTCTACCGATGATCAGTCATGTATGGCGACTTTCTAAGACCGTTATTCTCGATTATTCTTAGTGATAAAGGTAAGATCGAGGGCAACTTTGTTGTACTCTTAAGATTAAAGGAAGAAGAACTAAGTAACCTATTGGGCTAGCTATATAGTACACAATATTTATCAATAAGTTACCCGATGCATGATAAAGCAAGAATTGATGGTGTAGCCTAATGCATGGTCGGGGGGACATAAATGTTGAGGTAATTAATAGAAGGCTCGTGGGGGTGGTGGTGGACACTATAGCTAGTTGGCTGGACCACGGCGGCCGGCCGGCCGGGGGCGTTTCTCGTTAAGGCAGTAAAGAAGAGGAGCCGAAGATGGCATGATTTTCTGGAGGTGGGGGAGCTACCGCTGGAGCCACAGGCACCATTAATGTAAACCTGCCACACACCCATCTTACCATTTGTCCAGGTTTATGTATGTCACTTGTGTTCGTTGCGATAGGAAGAAGAAGAAGAGTTATAGAATAGTAGAGATTATAGAACTAGCTAGCAAGCTAGTAGATCGAGGATTCAGTATTATTGGTCTGAAGTTTGCAGCTCAGTGGGAAAAACAGCTGCCTCATCATGTATGAACGATTATTAATTAAACTAGGGTGTCTATGAGTTTTCTAACTTTTTTTTTTATATGTCAATCAAACACCCCATGTGAACTGTTGGACTTTTTCCAGAAATAGCACTATTTAAAAAAAATTATAAAAATACCACCCAATCCCAAAAAATTCCAGAAATACCACCCATTTTTAAAAACCGCCACCCCACCCTGCGGTTTACACGAAAACTGCTGGGTTGGGGCGCGGTTTTCGACGAAGACCGCTGAGCTATGGGGCGATTTTTAAAATAGCTAGGTGGGGAGGCGGTTTTGGACACATACTCAAAGATCTCTCATTGGTCCACGTCACTCAAGAAAAAAATGAGTAGTTGGAAATTGTTGATTTGGAAAAGGATTAAATGAGTAGAGGAAGGGACTAACCTCATGCAAGGCAAACCATCATCTTTCCCTTCCAAAAAAACATGATCCTCTCTTCTCTCTCTCATCTCTTTCTTTCTTTCTCCACTCCCCCCCCCCCCTAAGGAAAAAAATGAAATATGAGGTCCTAAAATTCTAGATTTAGGGTTTTAATTTTTTTTCTTCTACATCTCTTGTTTGTGTTTTGATCATAAATTGGTTCCGGAAGCGGTTCATTTTTTTTATCCCTCTCAAGTCTCAACCTTTTTATCTTGTTCTTGTTCATCCTAATTATTCTTCATTTGTTCATCTCCTCTCTAATCAGTCGCTCGCTCCATCTCTCAGCGATTTTTATAAAATTTTGGTTTGCATGAACGATGTCAATGTAAGATAACTCTTTCCTCTTATTCATCATTAGCCTTTCAGCCACTTTTACTCTTCATTCCAAAAACTGGTTCATCAACAAAAAGGAAGAGGGTTGACCTGAGTACAGGCACAAGGATCCTTTTGAGTGTTACGAAATATGTGTATTTCTTTGGCTTGAATATTAGTTGTTAAAAACTCAATATTAGTTCATCTGGTACTGAATATTAGTTTTCCTGGTATCAAATACAAGTGAAAACATGTTTTATGTAATGAATCCAAGTTGAAAATGTAATTAGTGTATATGACCTTTCTGAATATAACAATTACTAGTTTATGAACAATGGACACTAGTTCAAACATACAAAAACTATTTTTTGATTGAGGAATACTAGTTCATACATACAAAATCTACTAGTTTGAATTAGAAACTAGTTCATGAGTACTAGTTGTTTGCATAGTGAATACTTGCTCTAACCTATTGAATAATAGTCTGGGCAAGGAGATATTAATATTAATTCACTTTCAATTAAAGATCTTCTTCCTCCCACTCACTACAGTAAAAAACAATGACAGCTAGCGCGAGCAAGTGAGAAAGGGGGAGAGTATCTAGACTGATCTTGGAGCTGAATTTGGAGGCTTGGATTGAGATTGGAGCAAGGAGATGAATATTGAAGATCTCAAGCTTTGTATTGTACTCTCTCTCTCCTCTCTATGAATTAGCTCTCCTTCACTTAGTTTGATGAACCCTAGATCTAGATTTTTGTATGATAGTTGATGTATGTGACAAACCCTGTGATTGTAAAATCATATTATCTATTTAATTGATGTTTATGATGAATTGCATGAGTCTTGATCCCACTACATGTCAATTGTGCTTTTAATCTAGGAGGAGAATATATCCCTATGTTAAATAGAGCATTTTCAATCCTTCATTATGGATCTTTGAATGAGTGTGATTTTATCCATACTGTCGTATTGGGTTTTACCCATTCGTGGGAGTAATTTGTGAACACCAGAATTGCCCGATCGGTTGTTTGGTAAGCCTTTGATAACTCTAATAGAGAGTCCAATCTAGTCTAGAATTCTCGGCGGTAAAAGTATCGAGTCGATAAATCTAGGGTAGTATTCCGCATCGGTCCAATCGAGGAGCTAGGGAAAATCATGCCTGAGTGAGCTCCCACCTTGTAATTAGTAACAATAGTGGTTATATTAAAGTAGTTAGTTTATTCTTCATCATTGTTATTGTTTGGTTAGATAACATACCAAAGTTGAAGTAACGATACATCTAGAGACCCTAGAGTTCGATAGTTTTATTATATTACTTGCTTCCACTATACTACAATCGGTCGATGTTAATACTTGGCTTTCGATTGGGAGTGTAGTTAGGTACAAGTCAATTAAGGATATCTTATTTAGAGAATTAGGGTCTAAATTTTAATCATCAGAACTTACAATAAAATATCGTGCATCAAATTACAGTTAATTCAAAATTCTACTAAGAATACACGATACTCTTTTATATATATATATATATATATATATATATATATATATAGGTAGTTTTACGGTACCCCGGGTGAAATCCGGGGTACCGCATACGTTAAGTAAGAAAACGCTATCCAGAATTTGAATTGACTGATCTTTCGGACATGATACTATACTCTAACCCATAAAGATCAAAATCTAGGTCTAAATTCTCTAAATCTTTTACCCAAAGATAAATTTAATTAGAAACAATAATCGACGGTTATGATTCGTCCAAATATAGGCAAAAAAATCAATGCACCATCTTAGGGTTTATAGTTTTGATTTAGATAATTAGGACCTAGGGTTCACTCATTAAGGGTTAGGGTATAGTATCATGCCCAAAAATTCTGCTAATTCGAGGTCTAGATAGCGTTTTCATACTCAAGGTATGCGGTACCCCGGATTTCACCCGGGGTACCGTAGAAGGCACCATATACATATATATATATATATATATATACATATATATATATACATATATATATATAAGTATACCAGTAGTTAATATATTATGTACGTGGAGTCTGCCTTGCTTGAAAATCTTCCAAGGGCCAAGGCTATATATCAATCCTGAAAAACTTGGCTCCATTTTTGGTGAAACGCCAGGGTCCTTCATCCCATCTTTTCCAATACCTTTTGTCTAAAGGGATATCGCGAGGGAAAGGAAAAGACATATATATAATATATACAACACAACGAAATCAAAAGGGTTCATAAACAAACAAAGAGATAAAATTTTCCTTGGAGATAGTGGGAGACTTTTGCAGGAGAGGGGATTCATTGAAGATACGTGGGTCATGATCCAGGAGGAGATGAGAAGACTCTTCACTACTTTCACTGGGCTGAATGAATAATTGAATATATATTTATTGGTGATCAAATTTATAGCAATTTTTTTTACTCCTCCATTCAATTCTCATTATATTTATGACCTGCAACTGCAATTGCATTGCATACACTCCTGTCAATAATCCAGTACTA